TGTTGTTGTTGCTGTTGTTGTTGCTGTTGTTGTTGCTGTTGTTGTTGTTGTTGTTGTTGTTGCTGTTTCTGCTGCTGCTGTTGCTGCTGCTGTTGCTGCTGCTGTTGCTGCTGCTGTTGCTGCTGATGAGGTCCCCCAGGTGTACCAGCGGAGTAACCCGACGCGGACGAGGTGCCGACCATTCTGGATTGTTGCGCAGGGCTCGCAGCGGCCTTCGCTTCATTGGCCGATGTGAACGCTGCCTGCTGTGCCTGCGCCGCCTGTTGAAAACTAGTAATGGAGGTGGTCCAGTGAGTCTGGCTGGACTGTAGCAACTGCTGTTGCTTTACCTGGCCGCCCTTGCTAATCCAGTTCTCCTCAAACGGCCGAATGTGCTCGGCATACCACATTTTCAGCTTGTCCGGCGTCTCGTTCGGTGACGGCATCGGGCCGTACGGTCCGGGTTGCGGGATATAGTTGGCCATGTCATGCACGAGCGGCGAGACTAGCAGGCCGAGGCGAAAAGCGACGACGGTCCACCCGCTCTGGACGTGCGTGACGCGCGCAAATCCTCCGAGGCTGATGACGAGAACAAAAGCATTCTGGGCCTCAACAATCTTGGGCTCGCCGACCTTCTGCGCGCCCATCGCGCTCCACGCAGGCGCGAGGAATTGCAGTGGGTCAGGCTTGGTCGTAGGCAGCTGAATACCGCGCTCGCGCAAGTAAAAGTCGCGCACGGCTTGTGCAAACTGCTGTGCGGGCCCTGAACTAGACGATGCAGAGCTCGGACCCGAAGCAGATTGCGATACTTGTTGCGGGCTTCCCGCTTGTGATGGCGGTCCTTGCGACTGTTGTTGTCCTTGTTGCTGACTTGGTGGCCGCGCTCCAGCCTGTCCGTGTAACAGCTGCTGAGGATTGGCAGAATGCTGATGAGCTGGAGATTGGCTCCGCTGCTGCTGCTGGTGTTGAAGAACTGTAGCCATAGCGCCACCAATCGGCCTTGGGCCCGGCGATGCGCTAGGTTGCACTTGCATTTGCTGCTGCAATGCTTGTGCCTGTACATGTGCTTGTGCTTGTGTTTGTGCTTGTGCTTGCGCCTGCTGTTGTTGTTGTTGTTGCTGTTGCTGTTGCTGTTGCTGCCTCGCAAAAGCTTGCAATGCTTCGAGCTGCGTTTGCATGCTGATACCCAGATGCTGCTGCTGTTGTCCGCTGGAACCAGTTGCAGCCTGTTGCTGTCGCTGAGCCTGTTGCTGTTGCTGAGCCTGTTGCTGAGCCTGTTGCTGAGCCTGTTGCTGAGCCTGTTGCTGAGCCTGTTGCTGAGC